TTGTTTCCCTAACTGCATATCAGGGAAGATGATAATGACAGTACCTATTGCTTACAAGGGCTTCCCTGGTGGCTCAGTGGTAAAGAATCCGCCTGCAATGCAGCAGACACGAGTTCAATCCCTGGGTTGGGAAGATCCCCTGGAGAAGGAAATGGCAACCCACTCCAGTAGTCTTGCCAGGGAAATTCCTTGGACAGAGGAGCCTGGTGGGCTATAGTCCATGGGGTCGCAAAGAGTCAGACACACGATTTAGCGACTGAACAATGATGACTACCTATAAGCACAGACCTGCTGTGAAGATGAAATGTGCAGATATTTAAGTGCTTGGAACTATATTTAGCAAGAACTGCATTTTAAATTTGATCAAATTTGAATTTGGAAGCTCAATTAAGCAGTCAGTGTTCCTATTTGAGGCAACTAGTGTCAAAAACATTTTACAAGAACCTGAGGCTGTTGAAACTCAATTGGAACAAGGGCTTGGACTCTTGCACTCAGGGCCCCTCACTGGTTGTATTCCATAGGCTCAGACAGCAGCCTCAGTGCATCTCCAGCTTGTTAGTGCTAATGTCCCCGGTGCCCTTGGAGGATATCTATCCAGCATGAGCTCACGTAGAAATGCCACTTTGTGACCCTTTCATCCAGTGCTCTAAAGATGTCAGCTTGATGCAGACACCTCTGGGGGCGGCAGGGGAGATGGTTCATTTTCACACCTGTAGATCTGGCTGCATTCTGAGCGCAAGAGCTGAGAGGAGGCTGTGGAAGAGGAAGCCGGGCAGCACCACAAGGCTCTGGGCAAGACCAGAGAGCTGTAAAGGTCCTTTCCAGCCAGGCCTGCCTGCAGTCGCAACAGGGAGGAGAGCTCACCGCAGAAGAGATCCAGCAGTTGTGCTCAGGGCCAGAGAGCAGGCAGGGTCTGCAGCCCGGGAACACAAGCCCTTTACTGGGGCTGTCAGAACCGCTGGGAGAGTCCTTGAGAGCAGGTCACTCGGAGAGACCTTTATTACTGCTGCTGCTGAATAATCGTAGATTCCAAATCTGGTAGCATCAGTGGGGAGAAGTTTGACTTTTCTTCATTGATCGGGCTCTCAAGCTTCCAGGCGGCTCCTTTTTCCTCACTCCCACTTCTTTTTCTTGCTCTCTTGGCTCCCACCTCCCCCGTGCCTTGCTCAGAGCCTGCAGCTGGCTTGGGCGACCCCAGGGAGGTAGTGTGGTCGGGTGGACAGTGCCCAAAGCAGCCACCAGAAATCTAAGCTCCTGTGCCTGCGCTGCCTCTAACCGTGCCATCTTGAGTGCTTCACTGAACTTCTTTGGGTTTTTTCAAACGTTGGAGGTGCAGAGGGTTGTGAAGGACAGCGGAGAGGAAGGAGGGGAGGCTAACCGGTCACTCAGACTCCACAGGGTAGTCATTCTGAGGGGCGGGTAGACATGAAGCAGGGCTTTGTGGTTTAGGGCGGGGCCTGGCACCCAGTCAGCGCTCAGTTTAATTCCAGCCCCACTGCTCCCCAGCCAATCAGCTGCTCTGGGCCTCCTCAGCTTCATCAGTTGCAAAATGGGAATAAAAGTAGTACCTCTCATGTGGTGTTACTTCATCTAAGAATACAATAAATCGCCATCATCCTCATCTTCATCAGAATCACGATGTGGTCAGAGGTCAAGAAAGCCTGCCAGAATTTGAATCTTGGCTTGAATACAGCAAGTGATTTGGGCAAGTCATTTAACCCTTAAGAATCACTTTTCTTATCTGATGCTGGGAGGATCATCATCATGCATATATCACAGGGTGGCTTTAAGGGTCAAATAGGACCACCTCCATAAAGCTCACAGCACACTTCCTCCGGACTCTTAGCTCTTTAAGAGAGCTGTATTATTTTCTTTGGTGAGTGGGTAGGGGTTTGGTTGGTACAGTGGGTCACACAGAGCTTGTTAGCAAAAGCAAGGTATATCAGGAAGTACTGTCTGGGTAGGAATGAAATTCCTAGTCCTGCAGTCAGGCCCCTATGCCCTGGTTACACATCAGTGACCTGCAGTAATGACTGACTTGTCAGGGACTTTTACGGAACAGCCTTTCTCTTTCCCAGCTCTGAGCGGGCCAGTCCCTCCACCCCCTCCCTGAGGAAAGATGCTGTGAGCTCGTCCTCCCTCCCCCACCTCCACCCCCAGCACGTTTCTTCCAGCTTCCCAGTAACAAGCCCCAGCATGGGCTCCTGTGGGGCAAGACACGGCTTCGGGCCCAGGGATATTTGCGCAGGGAGGAGGTGGAAGTAGTTTCAGGAGCTTGATTCATTACAGCAGCAATCTCGGTCAAACAGGTTCCTGCAACTTCTCCGAGGCCTCTTTGTTCCATTGTTCCAGAGAGCCAGACAGGCCTCCCCACAATCCTGGGAGGGGGCAGGGGGTGGGGAAGGAAGCCCCCTGGAGTCTCGCCAGCAGGCTCCTGCTGATGGCCATTTCATCTCTGTTCACACAACACCAGGGATCCCATTCTGTTTGATTATAGCTTGTAAACCTTGGGCAACTGGCTTCTTTGCTATCTTCTTCTCCAGGGACTGGGGGTAGCCAGAATTGTGCGAAAAAGCTGGAAACGTATTGATATTTTTTTTGGACACAGATTAGGTTTTTTTGAGGAGTTTTCCCAAATCTGCAAGTCAATGATGGGAAAACTGGGACATCGGTGAACATTCCAAAAAATTAATGAAAAAAAGGGGGAGGAAGTTTTCAGATAATTTGGAGCATAAATTTGTTTTTCATACAAAGGAATATTATTTGACCCTAAAAAGGAATGAATTATTGATACATACCACACACAGATGAATATGGAAAACATTATGGTAAGTGAAAGATGCTGGGTACAAAAGGCTATATATTACATGATTTCATTTACATGAACTATCCAGAACAGTCAAATCCAGAGAGACAGAACGTACATTGAGTTGTTGCCAGCGGGTGGAGGAAAAGGGAAGAGGAGTGGCTGCTAATTGAGATGAGATTTTTTTGAGATGATGAAAGTGTTCTGGAATTAGATAGTGGTGAGGTTTGCACAACTTTGTGAACATAGTAAAACTGCTGAATTGCACTTAGAAAAGGTGAGCCTTAGGGACTTCCATGGTGGCCCAGTGGCTAAGACTCAGTCTCCCAGTGCAGAGGGTGGGTTCGATCCCCGGTCAGGGAACTAGATCCCACATGCTGCCACTAAGAGTTTGCATGTCACAACTAAGACCTAGGGTAGACAAATACATAAATATTTAAAGAACGATGTATTTTATGGTATGTGGATTATACCTCAATTTTAAAGATTGCATGAGAAAAACATTTGGGTTTCAGTTTGTAAGAAACTGTGGAGGCTGATAGTGTTTTACCAAACAAACAAACAAAGTGCTGGTCAGACAGTGAAGAGTTGGGCTCGGTCTCAGTTATCAGCATATCTAATCACCTGCCCACAGGTATTTATTAAGCACCTACTCTGTGTCAAGGCACAGACAAGAACCAGGTATATATTGATGAATGGGACAATTGTTCCCTCTTTGTGGCCTCCCACTAGCCCTTTGGCAGTTTGTTGAACTTCTCTGACCCTCTACTTCCTTATGTCTTTATGAATGAATCTATGAGAGGCTGAGGCAAATACTATACAAATGTGTCTTACCCGGAAGAGCGGTTCCCAAACCCCACAGGGCATCAGCACGTGGCTCAGAGCTTGTTTCAGTCAGTCCCAGGTGGCTTGGTGGCGTTGTCAGGTTGGGCAACCCTGCCCAGGTACCTCATAGCCCAAAGCCTGGCTGCTTAGCCATCCTAACGGAAGTTCCCTGCCTTCTTTGGTTACGTTCTAGATTGTCCCAGGTCTTCCAAAGCACACTTCAGAATCACCGCTTACCCTTCCCTTTGGGAAACTTTATTCACAGAGCACTGCTGAAGGAATCCAGAATTTTACCACCTGCAAAATTAATTTTTCCTGCACTTCACTCTCCACTGGTGTTAAAAAGAGTGAAACCAGGAAACACTTGACCAGGTTAACACCCATTTATAGGGTCATTTTGTACTTTAGAAATAAGCTGCTTGTTTTGCCCAGTTCTCATTATTAGGCAGAATATTTTCTATGAAGTTTCCCAAGCATAGACAATATTTTGCAGACCAAAGGATACGCAGTTGTTATTTTAAGGTAAGGTTGTAATTCATATAGGCTAGATCACAACATTGGTAAATGAAGTTTAAATGTGAACAGAAGTTTACCTCCCTCCCCCTATACACAGGGGCTTCCCTGGTAGCTCAGCTGGTAAAGAATCTGCCTGCAATGCCGGAGACCCTGGTTCTATTCCTGGGCCAGGAAGACCCCCTGGAGAAGGGATAGGCTACCCACTCCAGTATTCTTGGGCTTCGCTGGTGGCTCAGGTGGTAAAGAATCTGCCCGCAGTGCGGGAGACCAGGGTTCGATCTCTGGGTTGGAAAGATCCCCTGGAGGAGGGCATGGCAAACCACTTCAGTATTCTTGCCTGGAGAATTCCCATGGACAGAGAAGCCTGGTGGGCTACAGTCTTTGGGGTCAGAGAGTTGGACACGACTGAGCGACTAAGCACAGCCCCCACATACACATACACACCCTTAAATCTAGGATGTTTTAATATCCTCCCCCTCAGTCCTTGGTGCTTCTTAATAGACAGGCAGCTAGGCAGAAGGAGGTGCATACTCACTTGTGCTGTGCTTAGTCGCTCAGTAGTGTCCGGTTCTTTGCGACCCCATGGACTGTAGCCTGCCAGGCTCCTCTGTCCATGGGATTGTCCAGGCAAGAATACTGGAGTGGGTCGTCATTTCCTTCTCCAGGGTCATACTCTCTTAGCTGTGTGCACACTAGAATGTGGAGTCATACCTAATAGGCTACCACCAGGGGGCGCTCGGTGCCTTGCGGTTGCGGAAGACCGGAAATGACGCAACAGAGGGCGAAGGCTGACAAAAGAGAGGTCAGTTTTGGTCTAAGATGCCTGAGTGCGGAGAGGGGGTAGGGTTCCTACCTGGGTCACTCCTCTCTGCAAAGGCCACAATATGGATTCCGTTCAAATCATCTTCCTGTGGGAGAGAAGAATCAAAGTTACTCTCTTGGGTGGAAAGATACCAGAGAGTGAGTCCCGTACAGACTCAGAGGCTGGAATGGAAATGGGAGGCGGTGGAGCGGGATGGACGCAGGGGCACACATTCAGGAAGGGAATACCGATGAGCCGCGGGGAAGACTGTGTGGAGTTTAATCAGTGGGTTTGCAACACAGGAAAACGCCAACCACACACAGACATTAGCATGAAAAGGGCCTCACTCCTGTGGGCTGGAGGATCCAGGAGAGCAGCAGTAAAAGGCAAAATGAGGAAGAATGTGAGTTTGGTTCATCAGGAGCTCTGAGAGCCACAAAGCATTCTGGACACAGCTCCGTGAGTGCGTGTGTCGGTCTGTTTCAAGAATTCACCGCCAGCAAATATAATCAGCGATATACCAGATTATAGAAACTTGCAAATGCTGCTAACAGATCCCGAAACTGTCCTCAAACAGGTAGCAGACAAGATTCTTATGAGATAAGTGAGGATGTGGGTCTGTTTTTTTCACACAAGAATCTACATCTGTGGAGTGCTTTTGTTACAGACATCTCTTATTGAAGAAGCAGAACCTGTGTGGTCAGTAGCTACCGCTTTGCTGGGTGTGACCTCCAAGTTGTTTCCTAGGGGTCCTTTCTGCTTGCCAAAGCAGGATAGATCCTGAGAGTGGGCAGCTGCAGGAGAACTCTGGAATTTAGACTTAGGGAAAGTTTAGGGTGTGACAGTAAAAGTATGTGTGGAGGCTGGGATGGGGTAGAGAATCTAGAGAGAGTGTTTCAAATCCATGGGCAACCAAGTGCATCTCATGTTTCTATGTCCTGAGCAGAAAGGATTGTATATGCACCTTGTGTCTCCTCTGCACTGATGATTCCTGCAGAAGGAGAAGCAGGAGCTTGGAGGGGCCCCTCTTATGAGAAATGTGAGCCTCAGGAGACCTGGAGAGGAAGCTGTGTGAGAATGAGGTACCAGGGACAAATCTAAGTGAATATGATTGTCGCTGACACCAGCAGAGGGATTCACTGGGTGCCACGAATGTCATATTAGAATCATCCTAGGGAAAAAAAAACTCCAGGCATCTCAAACCTCTCATGATCTCTGTTTCCATTTCAGTTGATTTTAATGCTGGTGCAATCCTATCTAAATGCTAATTTTTTTTCCCTTTGAGTTTGGAATGGACAAAAATCTCCAAATGGTCTAAGAGAGATTGAATGGAAAATATTATTATTAAAAACAAGAGAGTGGACACTGCCATGGTCAGACTCTGGGGAATTGAATTTTACAGATATGTGTGTGCAGGCATATGTGAGTACAGGTTTATTACACAAATCTGACGGCAACCAGAAGGGGAGTCTGAGCTTTCACTGTTTTACATTTGCTATTACCTCCAGACAGAATATCCTGATCAGTGCTCATTAGGTTACCCTGTGTCTCTGTCTCCTGTCATCAGTTGGAAGTAAGCAGTGTTAACTCTAGGAAGAAGGCTTCATTTCTGTATACCCTTCTACACTGCATTTGCAAATTAGTTTTAGAATTAAAAATCCATATTAATTTGATAAGAAGCTGTTCTTAATATGGCTGTCACTCCCCAGGTCTGAGATGGCCCCTGGATGAAGAACCATAACCCAGAGAAAGAGCCTCTTTCTTTATGGATCTCAAAGATGCAGCACACAAACCTGTATTGAATACCTGCAAAGAGGCAGTTGCTTCTCAGTGCCAGGTATCTTCAGTAATAAGCTCACAGAGCAAGAATCCATGGTCAGGCTGGTAAATCAGGGTTACTCAGTGTGAATCCAATGTGCAAGGTGGGGGAAGAGCCAAGCTGACCATCCACCGGCCTGAGAACACCCCAGGGGCGTTCTCTGAACCCCACAGCCTTTGCTGTGCAGATCACGCAGTTAGTCATCACATTACCTTGAAAATAACCTTTTTAATTGCACAAATCTCTCTCAACTAGATGGCAGGCTCTCTGAGGGAAGGGATTATGGCTTAAAATAATAATGATGGTGAAAATGGCAACAATAATATTTGCCACTTGCCACAAAATGTATCGGTACTTTGTAAATACATTATTTCTGAATCTCAAAGTCTGATTCCTATTTAATGCTTCAAGAATTGAGTGACTTACCTAAAGCCATGGAGATGGCACATGACATAACTGGCATTCAAGCCAGCTCTGTCTGACCCCAAAGTCCATTCCTTTTCTTTCTCAATGATGGGGTCCCAAATAGGCCACTGTGACATAAAACTGTTTTGGCTGAAGGCATCTGAATTCCTGAAATCCTTTATCTGCCTAAAAGCAGAGCCTCCCCAAGAATGCGGTTGTCATCACTCAGACAGACATTATCACAAAATTATCGTATCTGCCATCTACTCTCCTAAGGGCCCATTTATCATTCAAAAAAAGTCATTTTGTTCTCCCAGAAGTGCTCCTCTGGCCCCCCCACCCTCCCCCCATTCCCCCTTAAGATGGTGTATAAGTCCCTCCTTGAGTCACGTTTCTCCCGTGCGTGAATAGCTAATTAAATCTCTGTTTTTTCCTCTTGCCAATCTGTCTTTTACCAGTTTAATTTGCAGGCCGTAAGAAATAGACCTAAGAGGGTAGAGGAAAAATTTTCCTCTCTGACATTCCCAACAAGAGAGAGAATGGGCTCTGCTAATCTGCTGTCTCTCCACAGGCTTGCAGAAGATGTTGCAAACGCTGGTCAGTGGCTCTTCCTTAAGTTGAAAGAGGCCAAGGAGGGGCTTTTAGGCCAAGTGTCTGAGCACCAGATCCCCCAAAGAAGTGGAAATTTGGGAGTTACTTTGATGACTACCTTAGTGTAGATTTGCTAGCATTTTATATGTCCCTGTGTCATCGCAGCAAACATACTGGGCTGGTGTTCTGTTATTATTGGGACCGTTTCATCTACTCAACCCTGAATTCCTAAGGACAGGACAGCAGTGCTTATTTTTAATACGTGATTAGCACAATGTAATAGGTTCTGCTTAATGTCTGTCGAATTTTTTTTAAAAAAAGAGTATAGTGATAAAAATCTTACATACCTCTTGAAGAAAATTAGCAAATACTAGAGATACCAAAGAGAAGTGAAACATCAGTTACCCACCAATCAGACATTACCATTGTTCATATGTAACTCTGTTTCCTTCCTGTCTCTGTTGAATGTTTGCTCTCAAGTTGAATGAAGAGATGCAAAGAGAAGAAAAATTGTTGCAACTGTTAGATTTTCCTAAGGGGGCAGGCAGTGATGTAGGGGCTCACTGGAGCAGGTCTCTGGCCCCCTCTGGGAACGACTTTCCTATTGCAATCAAGGGAAGATTCTTTCAGAAAGAACCTCCGAGTCCAATTTCTGTGGGCTTTTGCGAAGGACCGTGGCTGACAACTGGCCAGGGTGGAGGGCTGGTGGGGAGGTGGAGTCTCAAAGCAGAGGGACAAGTCAGCATTGAGTCTGGACATTCTTTGAATATTGTAAATAAATAAATAGCTGTCTGATTTACACACAGCAAATATTGCTAGATACCAGTATTTTGGGAATAATAATTTATATTTTCTGTGGTTTGCTGCTGTAAAAACCTGTACAATTGGGGAGAGAAGCCAGTCAATGGTTGCTTTAGCCCTACCTAGTTTTTCTATTTTATTTAAATCTCTTGCAATGTCTAAGCAAGTGGGTATTGAAGATCAAGATTCTGAAGTTCATGAATTGGTCACTTTCCCCAGCCTGTGCGGTGTAAGTTGCTGTGGCCAAGTAGGCCCTGAAAATGGGTACATGTGGATGGGATAGGGACCGAGTGGCTTCCCCGAGGTCCTTCTGACTGTCTGATTTCTGCTCCTCTTTCAGGATGCGAAGATAACCCTGGGTGGCCTGTCCTGCCCTCTCTCCCTAGTTGGAGACTTGGATGAGGGGCTGGCTAGGGCTTCTGGGGATGTCGTATGGACATTCCATGATGGGGTGTTGGAAAGGACTAAACCCCTCTGGTTGCCCTTTTCTCTGCCTAGTTGAATTCAATACACAGCCCTTTTCCAATTAGAAAGCAACTGAATATATACTAATGTGGAAAGTGTGAGCCATCACTTTTATTTTATAGTATAGCAAAAGCTGTAGCTTATTCATTAAGTGAAAAGGAAGCAGAGAATGGGTTCCAGTGAAGCCAGATGGCAAACCTCCTTTCTGAATATCTACCTCTGATATGGGAGAGGGAACATTTCTTCAGAGCAGTGTGCAGGGGGGTGATCTGAGAGGTGTCCATGATCAGAAGGAGGGGGCAGGACTCTCCTACAACGGTGGTGTGGTTTTGGGTGTGATACTGCTCTGTCAGTGAGGAAAGACCTGAGAGAAGGGTTCTACAGTTTTGCAGTGTTTCCCTTCCAGGAGCCTAGATACTTATCTCTTAAGAATGAACAAAATAAGAATTAAAGATACAGGCATAGCTGAACAGAACAGTAATAATCACTCTCGATTTGAAATGGTACCTTGTCTCATGAAAGACAAAGACATACCAACAACCTATTTCAGATTAAAGGCAACTAAAAAAACATAACAGTCAAACACAAGCCTCGGATCAAGGTTTGGATCCTGCACCAGGAAAAAACAAATGTTTTCTCTTGCTATAAAGGATCTTAGTGATGACTGGTCAATTTAAATGTGGAATTGTATTAGTATTAACTTCCTGATTTGGATAAGCATACTGTGATTATGTGGGCGTCCCAGGTGGTACTGGTAGTAAAGACCCTGCCTGCCAATACAGGAGACGCAAGAGACTCTGGTTTGATTCCTAGGTTGGGAAGATTCCCTGGAGAAGGGCAGGGCAACCCACTCCAGTATTTGTGCCTGGAGAATCTCATGGACAGAGGAAACCCGGTGGGCTAAGGTCCATAGGGTTGCAAAGAGTTGGATACAACCGAAGCAATTTTGCATGCATGCACACATTGATTATGTAAGAGAAAGTTTTTGTTTTTATACAACTTCTGAAGTGTTTAGGAGCAAAAGGGAATTGGATCTGCTATTTACTCTTAAACAGTTCAGAAAAATTCTATATCAAGAGAATGAGATAAAGCCAAACGTTAACATTTTGGGAATCTGGGTAAAGAGGTCATGGAATTTGTTGCGCTGTTTTTTATAAGTCTGAAATTGTTTTAAGTGAAAGGTGAGAATATTTTTAAAAAGGAACATTATTTTTAAAGCATTGTTATACCCTTTTTGTTATTTTAAAATCCAATAACAAGACCTCCTAAATGTTAAATTTTTGAAAAGTTTAAATGTTAGGAAAAGATGTTTCTATTGTGCTGTGTTGCTCTTAAATAGTCCACTCCTCCAGACTGAATTATTTGCCTTTGGTGTGAAACGTTTGTTTTACCTTCAGATATCCAAAGACGTTACATGCCAGTAAAACAGAGAGTGTCAAGTTACTCCATGATTCTGTTCATCTGTCACTTTAGACTCGGAATTAGAGTATTAGTAAACACATGCTTCCATGTTAATCTCCTTCTCCCTACCACCAACCCTTCTCTCCCTCTCCACCAAAATGTTGCCTTATGGGGACATGGTCCACTCTAGGATATATACTGCAGAAAACAAGAGATTTGGTTCCAGGTGGTCTAAATTTAAGTCCCCAGATCTAATGCTTATTAGTTATATATCTTTGAGTAGTTGATTTAATCTGTGATTGTCAGTTTCTCTAGGAAGCTAAAATAATATTTGTTTTTTATCACTTTCCAGAACTGTTGAGAGATCAAAGTAAAAGGGCACATGAAATGCTTTGATAAAAGCTTCACAGACTTTGGTTGTTACTGTTTACTGAATTTTGTATAAAGCTGGGGTGGGGTGGGGGTGTGTATCTTCAAGGCACTCTTTATAATGCTAACCCACCTGACATACTGTCTGTGACACAGACCTCGGGGACAATCTGACTCGGCACTTTTCAGTGCCTTGAGTTGATATTTACAAAACCAGCTACCACGCACTAACGGAGTACCTACTGTGTCTGGGTTCTTCATACCTTCGTCCCTACAATGAGCCTGATTTTAGATGCAGGAGCTAAAGCTCAGAAAGGCCACGTGATTTAAGGTAGGATACAAAGCTAAAAGGTGGCAGATTCTCAACTTGAGCCCAAGTCTGAAATGCATGGTCTGAACTTCTTCTACCTGTGACCTTGGGTTTCTGGTGGCCAGTAGTCACTCTAGGAAATGAGCTCAGAGATAGAGTAATTTTGCCTAATGGCCAGCCCAGGGGAACGGTGTTGTAACCCACTGTGATGCTGTCAACATGTCAAATTCTCCACCACCCTAGACATCCACTCCAGGCAAATAAGACTGGGTTTGAGGTTTGGAACTCAAAGGGGTACTCCTCCTGGGGAATGCACTCATCTCTACAAGGCAGAAAGAGTTTGCCACTTTCTTACCCATGTTTCAAACATATCTTCTGGGCGCAGGCGACGTAGAGTGGGTCTGGGAAAAGAACAAAAGATAAACTTCCTTGAATAGAGATTATCTCAGCTGACACCAAAGCCCCAGCACAGTGAAATGTAGGATAAGATGTTGGTTCACTTCCCCAAGTTCTGCATACTTGTTTTCTCTCTTAAGGGAACAGAGCAGATGGACCCTGTTGTGTGTCACACACAGCTGGGCCTGAAGCCTTTACATAGGCCCGTTTGAGCCCAGGATTATAAAGTATATCACAGATAATGGGTCACAGGGAACGGAGTCAGCTTATGCCCAGGTCAAGGAGCCCTTTCCCTCCTCACTGACGGGGCATTCCTGAGAACCCTGAGCAGGCCCAGATTCAGGAGACCCAGGAGAGGAGACAGCCCAGAGCTACAGTAGTTTTATCACCAGGGTGATCCATCAAAAGCCCTTGAGGGATGTTTGGAGGAGCCGGTTGGACCTATCTTTTGCTCATGGTTTCACTTCTTTTTGAATGTTGGCCAATACTGTTAGCCTTGTTGGTATTTATTCATTCGAATGCTGCTTCCCTGTGGGGACCAAGGCCGACCCAGTGATGAGTCATGATGCTCCACGTTCAGTGAGCCTATGTGACCGCAAGGAGGGGAGAGTGGGTGGATGAGGCGGTAAACCCACCACCATGTTCCATGTTCTGGTGTGGCCTCTCCCTTAAGAGCCGAAGTCAGCAGACTACATACAGCTGGTGGATCCAATCCAGCCAATGGCTCCTGTTTTTATAAATAAACTTCTGTTGGGACACAGCCACACACATTTGTTTACATATGGCCCATGACTGTTTGCTCACTACAACGGCAGAATTGAGTGCTTGCAGCAGAGACCATCTGGCCCACAAAGCCTGCAATATTTATTTTCTGGCCCCTTACAAAAAAAGTATGCTGATCCATGCTAGTGCTAATGGTATCAAATATTCCTCTCCCAGAAGTTCTATACACAAAATGTTCATCCTTGGCTTCTTTACTTAACTACCCTGAGCCCAATTCCTTGATCTGTAAAATTAGGATATAATTTGTTATATCCCCCATAATGTTGAAGATTAGGTAAAATAGCTTCCCAAAGCATCTGGCATCATACTTTAGGATGCTAACATTAAATCACTATCATCATCATTGTGGAATTTCACTTGTGACATCTTACTGTAGGAGGTGATTTCTTCACTGCGGGGAGGTGGTCTAACTTTGTTTGCAAAGGTAAACCCATATTCAGAAAATTTAGCCACTGATCAATGACGAACAAAGCCACACTGCTGAGTTCAGTTCTGCTGGGGTGCTAACTCCAGGTTGCTCTTGGGGGTCTGAAATGGTGGGACTGAGAGGCTTGTCTGCATCCCCCCCAGGCCCTGGATCACCCCTGCTCCCACTCCCTGCATGCCATCTGGGGCACCTTTGGTGCTCTTTCACAAACTCCACGAGCTCCGCTTCTGTGTAGGGTTTGTCAGGGATGGCAATGGGCTCGTCCATAAATGGCTCGTAGAAGTCAACCTCATTCATCTTCAAGGACAATTTCTTTGCAACCTGTAACAATTAGAAGCAAGACAACAGTTTCGTTGAACAGTATCTAAAGGAGCAATGGGTTGTCCAGCTACAAGTGTGTGTGTTCTCTGCAAAAGACATGGGAGTGTATGTGTGGTTTTAACTTAAATGTTGAAATGACAGGAACTCAGCACCTAGGCCTGGCTGGACCCACCTCCTTTTGTGATCAAAGGAAAGATAGAGAGGAAAAATCCTCTCTGGCAGATGAGATCCAGTCAGGGCCAGAGAGCAGTCAGAATGGAAGGTGGGAAATTTAATTCCATAATTACCATCCCTGAACTGTGTTTACCAGGGCGGAAGCAAATGTCAGCAGACCATGTTCAGTGTCCTGGGATGCATGGATTTAATTGAACCGATTTTGATAGACCAGGCAGTTGATGGAAACCATGTAAAGCACACAGGTACTCAGAATCAGGGGCCAACCCATTAGTCTGTCCCCGATCAGCTCATAAACTGTAATTGCTATTTCAATTGAAGCATTAGGCCGAGGGCTGTCTCTCAGTCCTGGGTGTGTCTGATGGTTTCTGAGGTTCTGGGAACTGCCTGGTTGGTTACCTGTCAGCAGGTGACCTGCATCCTGGTTTTTCCAGGGTGGAGGGGTTTCCCAGGATTCAGATTTTCAGTGCTAATGCTGGGAGGGTACACAGCAAGCCAGGGTGAGTGGCTCACCCTGTGTCCAATAGAAAGCATGGGGAGCCAGCCCATAGGCTGGGAGCTGTGTGCTCTCTTGATTAACATGGCTATGCAGTCTGGTCAGGACAGAATGGTTGCTGTGTTCACCGGCAGAGCTGCTGAGCTCACATCTCCTTTTGTGAAATGATTCGAGAGGCTTGGAATGTGCAACGCTCTGTAGAAAACCAAATACCATTCTTTTTGAGTTCAGAGCTGTGGTCCCAGAAAGTACAGGGATGAACAGTGGTTCCCTTGAAACTAAAGAGGAATTGCCTAAGAGCTGACGCCCTGTGGTGGTAACCAACGGTGCAGAGGCCCAGGCAGCCATGACTAACTGGGGAGGGGGAGGAACTGGTGTTACATAAGCTGTTACACAAGGAGGTCCATTCTGAGCCAGCACTGGTATCCCTATGGCTTTTGTCATCACTTGCTATTAATTCCGGGTCACTGTACTCCAGAAAGACATTTTTTAAGGACTTAAGGGAAAGCAACACCCACGTGCTACTCAAGAGCTAACAAAAACAGCTGTGTTAAGAGCCAAAGTCTGTCAAAGAGATTTAATGGTGATGTTGATTTTGCTTTAAGGGACAAAAAGGTGTGAGGTTTTCTCTTTTTTCCCTCTTCTATGGTATGGGGGTGGTGTGGATGATGGGGTGGGGAGTGTGGTTAGGGGAAAGGGGAGGAAAGAGCAACTGTACAACCATGGGGTGGGTTTGCACACAGTTCTTCACAAAGCTGGGCCCTCACAGAATGAGCTTGAAAATGACATTGGATTCTGGTTTTCTGAGTTCACCTACTACATATCCTAGGAACCAGGAAACTGTGTTTGTAGGAGGTGACCAGATGAACAAAAATGAATCATAGCAAACACATGGAGTGCTTGCTGTGTGCCAGTTACTGTTGCAAAGTGTTTTAAGTTGATTACTTTATGAATCTCCACTTTGATTGTACAAGGTCAGAGCTACTATTATACTTATTTTACAAATGATGAGCTTGAGGCACAATTTGAGGATGAACTGGTCAAAGCAGAGTGTTCTGAACTGCCAATTTGCCCCCATTCCAACTTTCCGTTTCATTTCCTTCCAAATTACCTTTTCCTTGACATTGTACAGAAAGGAATTTATGTTCCTTTAAATATCAGATTGGCACTGTGCATGGTGTAGGGAGATGTTTCCTTATTCCTCTTGTAACAGGTTCTCATCAACTCATCCACAGATCAGTCTACCAGAATGAAGGCTTCCTGAAGGTGAGAAGCAACTCATCACACCCTCCATTAAGGTAAACTGTGGAGATGCACCTGTGTGTGTGAGTGTGTGTGTGTAAGGATGTGCAGTGTTAAGACCATGAATGTGAAGTTGGATTATGATGTTTGTATCTTGGACACTCTGAGCAGAATTTTCTAGAGGCCTATGTCCCCTATATAGGCCCGTTCCCTATATCCCTGTCACTACCATAGAATTTGCTCATCTTGAATCTCAGACAATTCCTTCCTTTTCTTTTTAATTGTATCTTGGATGGTAAATACTGAAGGAGGCTTGACTTACTGAGGCACTGATTGATTCTTCAATGAATATTTAGTGGGGCCGACTATATCCAAGGGACCCAGACCTGTTTCATGGATGGTACAATTAAATAAGAATGGATTTTACTATTAAAATCTGAAGAGATTCAATCATGAATTCGTTTGTCCTTTTTTAAAAAAAAATAATTAGTTGGAATGGAGTTTGCCAAGGCAAGAAGATTACAAAGTACAATGGCCATTCTTCTGACATTTGCACATGTGTAAATTTTGATAACGTGTTTTTCCACAAGTTAGCAAGCCATTTCGGTTGTTGCAGATGAAACCAACTCAATGAATTTAAGTCTTCTCAACATCTGTCTTCTCTGTCAACTTTGTTTAGAGAATCACAGCTTCTTTTGACCCAATATGGTTCAAACAAATAATTTTCCTTCTCACTGTTTACTCCAAGAAAAGAACAGGTCAGTGGGAGATGGCATGAGATAATTAGAACTGACGTTTTCAGGCTGTGAGGTGCCATAGACAGGACACTGTCCTCAGTCCTCTGACTGTTGCTCCATTTGCTTCAGGCAGGTTGGGCCCTTGTGTGGCTTGATACAGGATCCAGATCCATTGATCAGTGCTGGTCCCAAACCTGTGTGCCGGCTAAAATCTCCCAGGGAGCTCTTAGAAAATGCATGTTTCTGGGCCTGGCCATAATGCTAAGAAAACCCCAAATTTCCAGGTGTGACTTCCACGAACCAATGTTTGTAAAAGCTCCTTGGGGCCTACCAACATGGACAGTGGTTGGAAACTGGTAAACTCCCAAATCTACATCAGCAGCCCTGATATCTCATCCTCATTACAGTTCTCCAACTCATATAATGCATTTAACATAATATATTTATTGGTTTGTTTACTTACTTTCTGTCTTCCCATCTTCTCCTTCCCCCAACACATACTAAACTCTAAATCCTACAAGGACAGAAATCTGATTTGCTCAATGTTGTGCGCCTGGCATCTGGAAGAGTGTCTGGCACATAAAAGGCCCTCAATAAATGCTTGCTAGGTGAGTGGATGAATAAATAAATGAAAGATCCTTGCAGTTGAATGTCTTCCCAACTTGTAGAAATCAGAGCTCAGCACCCCGTCTTATGTTCCTCTACAGATTCTTCTTCCTAGATTTCCTAGTGTTTTCAGTAGCTTTACAGTCTTTACTGTCCCAAAGCAGAGACTTGGAATCTTAAGCTGTTTGTGTCTTAAACAGCTTGTCTTTCTCTCCATCTCAACTGTGGCCAGGTCCCCTTGTCATCTCAACCTCTGCCAGTTGGTTTTTCATCTTTGGGACTGTATTAGGGTTTCCTGGACCCTTGCTTCTCCTGACTTCAAACCTCTATAAAGCCCCTCCCTTTCCAGGTCCCTCGGGCATTCCCTACCGTGGTGTGTCTCACTAACAGGTCCTTCCGCCCACTTCTGCTCTAGCATCCCCTGCTGGGCACCAGTGGGGCTTGGACTGGGGACAGCCATGCCTCCTGGACCCTACCGTTTCCCCCTCTCTGCAACTGATGACTATAAATTCTTAAGTACCTTATGGCATGATTGAGACCACCCAGTGCCACAGCTCTTCCTTCTGTGTTCTATGTAGAGGTAGAGAGTATGTCTCTTTATAAATGTCATAAAATCCCACAAGGCTACATGAACAGGGGCACTTGCAACTCAGTGTCTTTCAGAGTTTATAGTGAAGAGCCCTGTTAATTTTTAATTATAGCCTGACCTCACCTTCATGGGCCACATATGGTTGGGCTGGAAGGCACATCTAAAACCGAGTTCAGCATTGAACCAGCCTTCTAGGAACTGAGGCCTTCTTGCTTGGCCAAGCTTATCTGTCTGACTCTGTCTTCCTTCAGATGAATGCTTACCCAGGAGCTGCTGTATTCCCTCCCAGCCATCATAACCAAACGGCAGTGATGAATTTCCTTTATGCTTCTCTGGGCCTCCCCTTCTCTACTATTACCGCCTCCCAGTCTCCCTTCACCTGGGCTTAGATGACTGCCTCTTCTTAACAACAGCACTGGCTCACACTCACTGAATGTCTACTGTGTGCCAGATGGCAGCTAAGCGTTGACATATATTGTTTCTTTCTCTTGAGAGCAGTAGGACAGAGCATTTGACTTTGAAGTCAGGCTGACCTACTAACTATGTGACCATGAGCAGATCTATTTTGTCTCTCTGTGCCTTGGTTTCATCTTCCATGGATTGAGAATCCTAATCCCTCTTATACAGGGGTGTTGAGAGGATTAAATGAGAAAACCTATGCAAAGCTCTTAGCACAAAGCCTGACACATAAAAAGTACTTAATAAATGATAGTTATTATTCCTTTTGATATTCTTGTTTCAGCTCTCTCCCAACTCTAATCCACACAATTAGGGTAAGTGTTCTTCAAGTTTGGATTGTATTACTTAGATTATAGAGCTCTCTTCTGGATTATAGGCTTGCAGACTGGGGTCATACCCATAGAAGTGGTTATGTATATAGAGTTAATGCAATCTCTTTTCATTATACTCCTTCCCTGCTCCAGCACTTACAGGCTTCCTCTTGTTTTTTACAGAAAACTTGAACTCCTCATGTGGTAGCAATGCCCATGAATACTGTTCATCAAGGCCTCACTACTCACTGGGAGTAACTTTTACCTTTTTTGCTTTTAACTTTTGCCACTTGAATTTGATCAAGACGCCAGAATTTTGTCCTAGTTTATTTGTTCTAGTAAATATTGTGATTTAGAGCTTTTAGTTTGGGGTATACGTGTGTGTGTGGTGTATGGATGTGAGTTTCTTAGTGTTATATTTGTGTGGGTGTGAGTGTGACTGTGTGAGGAGGTATGTGTTATGCTTGTATGTTGTGTGAATGTATGTATTGGTGTGTTGTGTGTGGTTATATGCATGTTGTGTGTGTTATGTATGTGTTATGTGTGTATTGTGCAAATGTGTGAATGTGAATGTGTGGGTGTACACCCTGAATCTCAAGAGCAGATACAGAGTCTCCTACTTAATGATGTAGTACAGAAGAAAGGGCATGGATTTTAGGTACAGATTGTCCTAAACTGTGATCTCAGCACTACTACTAATTTGCTGGAGACCTTGGATACTACTTAATCTTTCTGAATCTTTTTTCTCATCTGGGAAGTGGTGTTTTTACTTTTCAGAGTTGTTTAAAGGATTAGAAACAGTATAGATGCAATATATCAAATTGTGCCCAACACACAGAAAACCGTAAATAGCCCTTTTAGTAATAACCGGAGCAAGAGCACTCCAACCATACTAGGCCCCAAAGAAATTACCCACTGACTGATTCAAGGTTCCTATATCTCTGCAGTTCTTTGGCTTAAAAAAGCACTTGCCACAAGCAGAAAATATAGATCCATTGAATTATAAATGAGTACACCAATGACATCTCCTGAGGAGTAGAAATGGGTAACTTTCTGAAGCACGAGGGCTTTAGATGGTCTGTGCTCCTCCCCAGTGCAACCCCTATCCTTGCCCAGTGGAGGGGAAGTATACAACCCCAGGAAGGGAGAGGATGGCCCTAAACAAAAAGGAAGCAGTGACCAGTGACCTGGCTCATCTAGGCTCATGTACTTCCGATTCTTAGTGTTGAAGGTGATAAAGAGTGGTTCATCTCTTTTTATTGCATATTTTCAGAAATACCCTTACATCCTCTGAATTAATAATTGTTGTACTCGTTTCTTATTCAATGGTAATTTAATGCCATATCTCTTAACACTTCTGGCAAATGTATTAATGGATGGAGAAGTGTTAATGTTGCTAAAAGAGAAGGAAAAGTGGTGGGAAGTTCAAGCTTTAAAGTGTTTAAACTGAGGTTTCTTAGGTACTTACGCCTTTGTCGAAAGTAGCAAAAAATTTGATATAAGGCTGGAAGTGTTCAGCTGCCTCTTCAAAAGCCTTGTAGTCTAAGAGGAAAAAGATAAAAGGGAGAGACATTTTCAAGATTCACATTGCATCAGAAATTTCTCTTTTTAAACAATCTAGAGAAAGTGGGAAGCCAATTAATTCTGACTGGATAGTTATTTGATAGATATTATTTAGATGAAGCATTTGATTCAATTTTAAATCCCAAGGAATTTGGGTGGACTGTCGTTCAACTATCCTGAAAAGGATCTCTTCTTTTTTATGTTTTTTTTTCTTTTTTTTTCCCATTTATTTTTATTAGTTGGAGGCTAATTACTTTACATCATTGCAGTGGTTTTTGTCATACATTGAAATGAATTAGCCATGGATTTACATGTATTCCCCATCCCGGTCCCCCCTCCCACCTCCCTCTCCACCCGATCTTTTTATGTTTGCGCTGGGTCTTTGTGGCTGCTCTCTGGCCTTCTCCATTTGCAGCAAATAGGGGCTAGCCTTCGTTGCAGTGTGAGGCTTCTCATTGCGGGTTCTCTTGTCGCAGAGCTCAGGTTCTAGGGCTCACAGGCTTCAGTAGTTGTGGCACACGGGCTTAGCTGCTCCGTGGCATGTGGCTATGTCCCCTGCATTGGCCGGTGGACTCTTAACCACTGGACCACTAGGGAAGTCCCCTAGAAAGGAACTTTTCATTGCACTTTTATATGTTTCAGGAAATTGGGTGAAACCAAGAGAAGACAAGAGAGAGAAAAACCAAAAGAAGTTTTTTCTCTCAAACTCACTGCTAGTTGTAAGTGCACCCTCTAAAGAGAATGCATCCTGTTGTATAAGTGAGCTCTAAGTAAGACGAAAACCTACTTAGTATGCAAAGCAACTCAATAAAAAGTGACATCACAGAAGAATTTTTAATTTCCTAGCAGGAGTACTTCTTTGGGTAAATCCTAGTTTTTCTTTCTCTCTTTTTAAGTTTTCTTTTTTCATTCTGATCCCTTGAGAGGAAGACTTAAAATTAACCAAACCCAGGCTTGATTCTCTGTCCATAGAATTCTCCAGGCAAGGCTACTGGAGTGGATAGCCATTCTGTTCTCCAAGGGAACTTCCTGACCCAAGGATTGAACCCTGGTCTCCTGCATTGCAGGCAGATTGTTTACCAAGAATCTGCCTGTAATGCAGGAGACCTGGGTTCGACTCCTGGGTCAGGAAGATCTCCTGGAAAAGGGAATGGCAACCCACTCCCGTATCCTTTCCTAGAGAATTCCATGGACAGAGAAGCCTGACGGGCTACAGTCCATGGGGGCTCAAAGACTCAGACACCACTGAGCGACTATACTACTATTAGACTTGATTCTGGCCCCAGACTTGAATCTAAATGACTCAATATAAGCATGAGATCCTGTGAGTGTGGCCATGCTGTGCCTCACTACACCTAGGCGGTTACTGCTTGGTAAAGATATTCATACTCCTGCCTGATATGTGAGGGTGATGGAAATGGTGCTCGTGTGGATGATTCTGCCTAAAGTCTATAATCCTAAAGTCTATAGTCAATGATCCGGCCATTCATTTTTAATAAGATTACCTTTTTTTTCCCATTTCATGAAATTTCATATCCCTTCATCGTCAGAGGCATAAGCTTTATCTAGAATCCCAGAAGCAGGCAGAATTTTCTAATATTTAATCAAAAACATTTCAAGAATAATGCTGACTTAGGGGACAGCAAGTTGAATAAGACAAGTACACTGATCTCAAAGGCTCACAGCCAAGGAGGGTTATGGGCCCACATAGGACCACAATGAAGTGTGATGGTTGTTAGAATAGAGGAAAGCGCATAAGCCCAGGCAAGACAGGGGTTGGAAAATCTACAAGAGCAGCTGGACAAGCTGATGCAAATTTACACAAACTCATTCCTCATAAAAGTAGTTGGGTTGTCAGAAAATATATCATAAAACCTGAGAACTGGGCTAGAGGATTAGGTGGAGGGGAGGAAGGTGGGTGAGAGATTTGGAGAATGAATAGAGAGAAGGTGAGAAAATGCAGAAAGTGGAATGGTTATAGCCATACCTGAGTTATTTATGTCTATCTAAGGCAGCATTTTTCCTGGTGTCTCAGATGATAAAGCGTCTGCCTACAATGTGGGAGACATGGGTTCAATCCCTGGGTCAGGAAGATCTCCTGGAGAAGAAAATGGCAACCCACTCAAGTATTCTTGTCTGGAAAATCCCATGGACAGAGAAGCCTGGTAGGCTACAGTCCATGGGGTCACAAGAGTCGGACACAACTGAGCGACTTCACTTTCACTTTCATCTAAGGCAGCAGTGGGCTTCATCAGAATCCTCTGTCCCCCCTTCCCTGACCTCTTGTTCCTGATGAACCTCTCCTTGCCTCCAGGAACCCCTGTCCTGATAGAAAGAATGTCCTTTAGCTGTGTCCCAGGATCTCCCTTCTTCACTCGAGGAGCCAGTCTATATCCCTTTTAAGATGCAGAAGGGTTGAGCAAGATTATTTGCCAGCTTCAAACTGTGGTTTCAAGGCTTCTAACTGTGGTTGAGCCTTTAGCCTCACCCAAAGAGCAGCTGGCTTCTAGGAAACCCAGTCTAGTCTTCTGCTCTGTTTGATCTCATGTGATCCCAAGGTTTTTCCTGCCCTTGTGTGCTGTTTTGATGTTGACCAGGTCCTACCTGGCTCCTCCCAGTCTGACTATGCAGTTACTTTGATCTATCCCCTTCTGGAACAGGCTCCTGAACATCAACTTTTAACCTCAGGCTTACTGCAGTTGTGTCTTAGCATTTCCTCGCCTTTCTTCCTTATCACTCTGAGTTTTCCATACTGGGTATTGACCCTTTAGCTTCACATTTTCCTTAGTTTGGTATTCTTAACCATTACCTGATCTCCCTCAGTAAGTTTTTGTCATGCTGTCTTAGCACTAGCATCCATAGTTACATGTTCAAACTGGAGATGGACCTTCATGTCCAACCTCCCTGGGAGATGTAGCCTCCCAGTTCTTCCAGATCCTTTCTAATTGGGTACCAAACGTCTTAGGCAGCCTTCTGTCCTAAGACCATTCCAGTCTACCTATGTTTTAAATCCTTCCAGTTTCCCCACTGTCTCTCCATTGTTCTTATTCAATAGAAAATCTTGAGATCATCTGCAAAGCCCTTGTCTTCTGTGCCACTACACTTCCTTGACCTGCTGCTGCTGCTGCTAAGTCGCTTCAGTCATGTCCGACTCTGTGCGACCCCATAGACGGCAGCCCACTAGGCTCCCCCGTCCCTGGGATTCTCCAGACAGGAACACTGGAGTGGGTTGCTATTTCCTTCTCCAGTGCAAGAAAGTGAAAAGTGAAAGTGAAGTCGCTCAGTTGTGTCTGACTCGTAGGAACCCCATGGACTGCAGCCCACCAGGGTCCTCCGTCCATGGGATTTTCCAGGTAAGAGTACTGGAGTGGGGTACCATTGCCTTCTCCACTTCCTTGACCAGTCACCCTCAAAATACAGCAGAAAACATAGGATTCTCAACAATTGCTTCCCTGGGTGCCTTACCAACTCCTAGCTTCCCCACTCATTGACCTTAGCCTCTTCTGAAAGGCAAGAAGGAAACAGAGAGACGGGGATGCCTAGTAAAACAACACGATGCTTTCTGCCAGTGTGTGATGGCCACGGGTGTGTTACAGGAGGCATGATAGATATAAAATTGTTTAGTGATAAATCTCTCCAGATATTTTCTACAACCATTCAGATTTTTGAGTAGTTAATATTATATTTGAAAGCAGTGGCTCCCTCAGTGAATGTTCTGTTTCAGTAACAATTATTTTGTGCCTAAGACTAATGAGCGTCACAGCTAGAGAGAGGCTGCTCCCCTGTCTTCCCCTTTGGATTATCTCAGTGTGATTGTTACTTTCGTCCAAGTTGGTTTATCATCAGTGATTTTTTTGGTTTGTGAGGCTCTGTAAAATATTTAGTTTTTGCTTTTGATTTATTTTTTTCTGCTAACACCAATGGAATGTATGATGGCCGTTTATTATGCTAATAATCATCATGATCAACATTATCAACAAAATCTGGTATTAGGTATTTCTAAAGAGGACAAAACTGATTTTCTTTAATTTTCTGAATTATTCAATTTATGCCTTCCTTCTTCCCTTTCTACTGTTCTATCTTCCTAGCTTCTTTCTTTTTGCTAATGCCTGTATACATTAACAATTAGCCAATCTGATTCTAGATGGGCTTTCATAAGGTATTACTGTTTTTGTAAATTAAAAAATTATTTCTTTCAAAAATAATAATTGGGAATAATTTAATTAGTTGATTCATTAAAGAGGACCATAGGCCTTTATGGCTTCAGAACTGATGGTGAGGCTGTAATGACAAGAAGGTGTAAAGACTGTGTTGTCAAGTTCTTTCTGGAAATTTTGAGATTCAAGCAGTATTTATTCACAGAAATTCTTTGTTAGAAAACTTTTATCTGTTGGTATGAATTCCACATAAGAGATTGTTATTTTAAAAAGTGACCCCAGGGACTTCCCTGGTGGCCCAGTGGTTAAGGATCCACTTTGCAGTACAGAGTACATGAGTGTGACCCCTGGTCAGGGAACCCAGATCCCACATGCTGTGAAGCAACTGAGTCCATGAGCCTCAATTACTGAGCCCACATGCTACAACTGGAGGATCTGGACACCACGATGGAAGACCTCGCCTAATGCAATGAAGATCCTGCATGCCACAGCTAGGATCTGATGCAGCCACATAAATTAATTAATTAAAAAAGTGACCCAAATAATACCCACACCTCCATAGCCCCTTCTCTTCTTGTGTGTGTGTCTATGTGTGTGTATGTATGTGTGTATGCTCCGTTGTGTCTGACTCTGCAGCCCCATGAGCTGCAGCCCTCCAGGCTTCTCTGCCTATGGAATTTTCCAGGCAAGAATACTGCAGTGGGTTGCCATTTCCTACTCTAGGGGATCTCCCCAACTCAGGGATTGAACACGCATCTTTTGCACTGTCAGACAGATTATTTACCATTAGCAACACCAAGCTTCTCTCCTTAGTTCCAGGTAAAGAAATAGGTTCAGAAAACTTGTCTCTGCTGTATCATACTCAAGTAGGCTCACTGTGCAAGGGGAGTTTTACTAAGAATTTATGAGCTAAGAGATGAAGTGAAAAAAACTGTGAATTATGTTTGGTTTGAAAGTGCTTCAAAGGATAAATTATTGGCTTCAAAACATGCTGGACCTTGCTGAGCTCCTGAATAAAGTTAACTGAATATTGTAACGATAATATGAAATATACAGTGTACTGACAAAGTTTATCAATTTAAAAGCAAAAATTTAACCTTAGAAAGGAGGTTAAAATGGCTCTAAAAGTTAACTAAAAATTGCAATGACACTGTGAAATATACAGTGTACTGACAAAGTTTATCAATTTAAAAGCAAAAATTTAACCTTAGATAGGAGGTTAAAATGGCTCACTACTAACTTTATTATTTAAATCTTAAGAAAAAGTTCTAAGACCAGTACAGTGATAATTGCATATTCCAAAGGAAATGCCTCATTATTATTTTTAGATATGTAGTATGGAAAAGCTCAGCTGGGTTTGACTTTTTTTAAGATGATCATAAGAAATGTTAACATTACATTTGTCATTGAAAAGGAGAGCAATATCTGTTGGATGGAAAGAATATTCACATCCTTGAAGGACAATTTAGAGATTAGATTATCTAAATTCTGTTCAATGGCAAGAAAAGATGGTTCATCAATCAAAGAAAAAATAAATGAATGTTTTCCTGTCATTTGCCACCATCTACATGTGCCAGCAAAGTCTCTGGTCAAGAGTGACTATCCAGAATTTGAAAAGATCATTTAAAACCTTGATCAGGAACTGTATATTGCTATTTCAACCATAAAACCTAATATCAAAAGCTGTATTCTTAGAAGCAAGCACAAGATTTTCATTCAAAATCTATAAATATTTTACTTGTAAGTTTTATACAATGTAATATTTGATATCTTTCCTATTATTTTGTAATTATTATATTAAGAAAGTGAAAAGACATTCTTTTTGTAAGCCCAAATAAATCTCTTCCAATTTACCCCTACGTGACTTACAAGCATGGTCACGTTTCGTGTGTGCCTTGACCTGACACAGCTGTGAAGTCTTGAAAGTACAGCCCAGCGGTTCACTGTATGAGCCTTGAAGTCAGCTGTCTGGGGCTGTCTGGGATGTAAATCTTGGCTCTACCATTATTACTAGCTGTTTGATACTGGGTGAGTTCACTCAACCTTTCTGTCCCTTTATATCCTCATCATTAAAATGCTGATAATAATGGTAGCTACCTTACAGGCTAGTTGTGAGAATGAAACTAAGGCATCTACAGAAAACTCCTAGCATAGGCCCTGGAATATGATATACATTAGTTGAATGGAGCAATTATTATTATTCATTTAGGTTTGGGGAAGGTAGACAGTGGAAGATGTGCTTTTCTCTCTCTCTCTTTGTGGCCACAGTGTGCAGCCTGTGGGATCTTAGTACCCTGGCCAGGAATCCAACCCAGGCCCTTGGCTGTGAAAGCATGGAGTTGTAACCACTGGACCATCAGGGAAACTCCAGAAGATGTCCTTTTTATCCCAATCCTCCCACCCTCTATGCTGTCCTGAGCTTAATGGAGGAAGAGAGAGAAACAGGATGGGGATGGATAGAAACAATTGAGGGGGTCAGGGAAGGCAAAAAAGGATTAAGGGAAATAAAAAGAAGAGGAGAAAGTAGAAGGGGGTGGGAGGAGAACCCAGAGTAGCCAGCCTCTATATAGGAATGTAAAAATTGAAATAAAGTCACCTAAAGAACTGGGTTGAAAGTTCTTAGCTAGCTTCCTTCCTATCAAAGCACCCTTAAGGAGGGTGAATCTCTATTCACCTTTTATGTAGCAAATTAGAAGAGAGCTGAGTCATAGGAGAGAGAAAATAGGTGGGAAATAGGTGGGTTGTTGATGAGATGACTAAGGATACCAGTTGGCATATGGAATACAGAAATGGCTTTACAAAGAATTTCAAAACATTTTGGAGATTCCAGAAATAGACATAAGCAGCCCTTATTTGCACCCTCCCATGTACTAATGCTACCCAATTCTCTTTCATGATTACCACTCCTACTAGCACTGTCTCTCTCTCCACAGCTCAAACACAAGAAAAAGCCTTAACTCATAGGACCCTTGCTGCCAAAGCACTTTAAAAAATGTACTCAAGTAGTTGGCCTTCATGGTTCCTTCTCTTCTTGTCTCTTCCTGGTTCCCACTCGCTACCCCAGTCACCTCTGTGTAGGTTGTAGTGATGCTCCAATATGTTCCTCTGCCCACCTAAAACCTGGCCACAAAGCTTTCAAAGGGAATATACCCAAGGGTGTGGCCATGCTGTTGCAAGCAGCCTACCAAGCCTACCAAGGTCAGTGGGGGTTGACCAGCAATTTCTCACATTATGCTGCAGCTGCCAAGCTGATCCCTACCCAGATTTTCCTCAAATGCTGTCCAAGTGACTGAGAAGCTCTCTAGCTGCTGACCATGGGAGCTGCCAATGTCAGGGAGATAGCCCTTTCTGCCCCATGTTGGGAGAGAATCCTGCAGGTTGATGGGCAGGTGGAGAAAGTGGAGGAAGGGCTTTTCTCTCATCTGTCTATGACTGACGAGCCCCCTTCAAGGTCAGAGAACATGGCCCAACCTCAGTATCCTTTCAGCTCCCCCACCTGTTTTGCATAAGTTCTGCTCATTTGTCCCATTGCACAGGGTGTAAGAAAGAGTCTCCCTCTATTTGCTGATGGTTCATCTTCTTTCTGGTTAATCTAACACATCTTGTTGGGAAAGGAGCCTTTAGACTGACAGGCTCGGGTGGACAGACAACTTACGTTCTGATTCCTCACTCTTGAAAAAGCCGATGAGTTTGATGTGGTCCTCAATGCGCTCAAAGGCTTGGACTTCCAGTTTGCTATTGATGATCTCCACTGGGTCTTCAATGAGCTGGAATGCCACACACACAACACAAAAGATGTTCAAATAAAAGAACTGTTCCTGCCCAGTAGGCGAGTCAGGCACATGTGTAGAGTGTTTTGGGGAAAAGTTGTGAACTTAGTCTGACTTCTTCAGGATCCATTTCACTTTTTCCAGTGAGGTGAAATTTCGGCCTTTCTTAGAGGAACTGGCCTTAACTCATGGAGTAGGCCGACTGGTCTAGGAGCAACCTCATTTCTCTTGCCAGCTATTGATTCAGGAATGGCATGTGACTCAATTCTGGCCAATGAACCTCCAGAGTAGATCAGCTTGAAGGCCTGGGGAAAGTTCTACTTTTCTTTTAAGAGAGCAATGGAGGCCAGATTCTTTTCCCGTCTCATGGGGTATGAATGAGGAAATGTGGTGTATCAGCTCCTGCTGCTGGGCCTTTTTAAAGATTTATTTTTAATTGGAGGATAATTGTGTTACCATGTTGTGTTGGCTTCTGCCATACAACAACACGTATCAGCCATAAGTATACATATGTCCCCTCTGTCTTGAACCTCCCTCTCACCTCCCATCCCATCCCACCCCTCTAGGTTGTCAGAAAACTTGAGAACAGTCAGCTTGAGGACAAAGCCAACGCAATTACCTGATTTACAGAAAGAAACAGAGTTAGAGCCCTGATTTGGTCAAGTCTAAAATCTGCCTCTGCCTGGCCTTCCGTTCGTCAGTGATGTTGCTCATTATTTAAGGTATTTGTATCTAAAAGCCCCCTCCTAGCCGACAGAGCCAGGGCAGGGCCACGTGGGCCCACAGTTGTTCTGTTGCCTCTCTCAGTCTTCTTTAGGGCTTGCCAGCATGGGTCAGTGAGAGTCTATGGGCACTGTTTATAGGAGGTAACCTTTGGCTCACTTCTGACCCTCTCATAGAATTTTTGAGGCAGTTGGGAAAAGGCAGTAGGCCACTGTGTTCTAGCTGGTAGATAAGGAGTCACCCGTATGGATGGCCTTTATCTGCACAGGCACCTGTGTTCAAAAGTACTTGACTTCACAGCTGCTATTGAAAGTGTGAGTTTAGCTATGGAAAAAATATCTGTATAGTGTCTATTCCTCTATTGGCCTGAGCACGTGGATCCCAGGGTGCTGTCCATCCATGGCTGATAGCAAATGTGGTATTGGAGGGCTCCTCAGCCGTGCTTCTCTTTATCCTGTCTGAGGGTCACTCAGCAGGTTATTACTCCTCTCCCTCCTCCATCTTCCACTGACCATCCTCCTCTCTTCCTTACACCCCCCCTTCAGAAGCCCTAGAACAAAGCCAAGGGGATTCTGGGAATGTTTGTGTATACTTGCTCAGAGAGGTAACATCCTACTGCTACAAAGTCCTAATTTGTGACCCTCTGGTCACTAATAAAACAGTTTCTGAAGTGATTTATGGGCCAGCTGCTGAGTAGACATAAATATTGTCATGATGTAGGCATACTTTAGCTTTTTCGTGAGGCTTGAGAAATCTTTCTTAGACCAGGTCAGGTTATCTACCTTTTCTGTTGTTACTTTGGGGTCTTACGTCCCCCTGTATTTGAACCCAAACAGCACCACGCAAGGTCACTGGGCACAGAAGCTTACATCCAAGAGAAACTCCACCAAGACGTCAGCCGCAAACTCGCCGTCAAACTCAATTGTGCGATCACCCTTAAGAATATACAGGCTTCCTTCCTCATCAAAACCTAAAAGAAACAAAGAGTTCCCAAAATAAAATCATCCTGATGAACGAAGAGCCATCCTGTGGGCCGGGGTCTGGCTCAGGTTTCCTGGGTGACATAGCGTCAGGCTCCGTGGAACTAGCATTAACCCGAAGATTGGTTCCCTTGCAACCACACCTCAGAAGGCTCCCAAGGTGGAAGCTCAAAACAAAATAGTCAAGAACCAGCAATTCCACCTGGACTTTAGCTTAAAAGAAAAACCTCATCACCACTCTGCCACTGCTTTAATTTTCCAAAAACTGTTGCTGACTCCATCCTTCTTATCAGAAAGTTTTCACACCGACTGCCCATCTGGCTCTGTAGCCTGGCATGAAGCCCTTCCACAGCCCAGCACCAGCCCTGTCCTCTGCATTCGCCCTTGGTGGCCTGTGCTCCCTTGAGAACTTCACTTTTCAGCCCTTGCAGCTCCCTGGGCTTTTTGTCCAAGAGCTGAGGTGAAGGGGACAGAAAGGAGAAGCCATAGTGCATGATTCTCTGTACAGTTGTTCTCCTTGGGCCTGGAGTGACCTTTCCCACTACACCAACACCACTGTCACTCATCCTGGTCATCTCCTCTGGGTCTTAGCTTACGACCCATTTTTCAAGGGAGAGCTTCTCCAATCTCCCTTGCCGTTATGGATCTGCTCTCAGCTCCGTGTACAGGTACTCACTATAACAGCCATCCCTCTAGAAGGGTAGGGCTGTTGTCCTCTTGGGACCCCAGCACCTTGCTTGGAGTCTGGACCCCTTGGGCATCCCATAAAAGTCTGCAGTCAGAGCAAACGCCTTGCTTGCCTATTGTAGCTGAATTCTGCACATCTTTTCCCAGTCTGCTGATAAGGCTGCAAGAGCAGGTTCTGCATCTTCTTTCCCTCCCGCCTCGCTCTCCGTGTGATGTCTCCTGCCCTCTTCACTCTTAGTTGTGTACTTTCACAAATGCTCGCTGGAGAACTGTGTTCCCCCCCCCCCAGGAATGCTAAATAGCTGAGGCTGGCACTTGATCCAACTGCATGGCATCCTTAATTCCTTAGATTAATTGTTTTCAAACTCTCAATTAGCTGGAGGATGCTCTCTCCAGATGAACTCTTCTGCAGAATCTCTAGGGGAAGGGAGGCTGGCCCACTGCCCACCATGTCCCAGGGCACTTCTGAAGAAGCCCTAGCATGCTGCGGAGCTCCATGTGTAAATCTAAAGGAGGAGCGTGCCAGGTATCCCTGAGGCGGGCAGTGACTGATCACAGAGGGTGCATGGCGAGCCTCAGGCAGTGTCCTGCTGTTGGACTTTTCTCTGAGCCTGACACCAGTTAGGAGATTGTTGCATTAGTTTAGAGACCAAACTCTGGCAAACGGAAATGGGGATGGAGTTCAAGGAGCAGGTTTACAAGATACAACTGTCCTGTAAACTCCAAGGATTGAATAATCAGAAAGAACCTGCCCCGTGTCATTTACAAGTTCATTTAGACGTTTGAAACCCCATCACATCCTCCACTGGGAGAATATCCATCAGTTCATTCTTATGAATGCTTGCCGAGCTTGTGCTCCCTAAATTTCTAGATTGCTAGAACACTAGTGTTTTCCTCTTAACTATATTTACTAGAAATTCTCCCAAATTCTCATTGAAAGAGTGGGAAGAGGGAAGACTAGGGAATCAAGAGGCACTGGACCCAATTCATCAACTCACTTTTGACGAGGCAAAGAGTTGAATATGCTTTGCTGCCCTGCACAAGGGGAAAAAATTCTTAACTTGTTTCCAGGGAAGGAGATACTCCAGGCATTCTTAATAATGCATTATCACTTATAGTCATGAGTCTGCCTTGTATCTAACCTAAATGTTGTCTCCTACAATTTAAATCTTTTTTTTTTTAAAAACTGGTCTTGAAAACAAAATAGGAAGCAGTTGTTTGAAATTCTCTAAGATAATGAACTTTCATATATATCTAAAGGTGTTTACTGAACCACCGCTAATCTTTTTCTTTATTCTGTGATTACTACTCCCAATCCAATTAACCTTTCTTTAAAGGTCCTGTTTTATAACCTCCTGCTGTCTTTTACTAGCCATCCTTCACTGGTGATGCAGAAAAAGTGAAATGGTCAGTACCGGTGCAGGGTGTTTGCAAACCAAGGAGTAACCTATATTCTCTCTCCTTGGGATTAGAAGTGTAAGAATCTTAAAGTCCACTCGCACTTAACCATGACATATTGACACAAGAGATTACAACTTGCACTGTGTAGTCATTTAACCATACCTCCTCCAAATCCTCCCGTTCATCCTTGGTGACAGTGCCCAGCTGGGGTTTGGCCTTCAATATAGAAACAACTGAGACCCTAGAGTCACTACTATTAATGATATCCTTTATTGGCTGCTTCAGCTGAGAGGTCAGGAAATAATAGGTGATGGAAGAGGAGATTTGATCTCCCTCAAAGAGATCACTGTGTCAGTGAGGTTAGCCCCCCTCCCCTTTTTTAAAATTAATGTATAGTTGATGTACAGTGTTGTGTTAGTTTCAGATGTACAGCAAAGTGATTCAGTTATACATACATGTATTCTTCAGATTCTTTTCCCATATAGGTTATTACAAAACATTGAGTATGGTTTCCTGTGCTATAAGTAGGTCCTTGTTGTTTATGGAGTGTATACATGTTACTCATGAATTCCTAATTTATGTTCCCCCATCCCCTGCCAAGAAGCTAGCCTTTTAACCTTTTCTAAGAGCTGGAAATAAAGATTTGAGCCATTAGTGTCCATTTTCCCATGAAGAGACCCTCTTTCTTGTACTGATCCAAAGATATATTAAATGTCTAATGTGAAATCACTGAATTCAGGCCTGTATTTACTTTTTGTGAGACTCTTCCCTAAGCTAAGACTAAGCTGTCCAGGATCATTTTATATTTATTTAAAAACAGTCTAGTTATCATGCAAGAAAAAAAATGACTATACCTTTTTTTTTTTTTTTTTGCAAGACACATTTTTTTCTTCGTGATATATCTAAAAAAAAGATCACACTTACCCAATTTCTTGGCAAGCTTGGCTTCTTTCTTGGCATCCACCATCACAAAGCCTATATCTTTATGTTCCAGGACCTGGGCCACAAGCTGAAGGGAAAGACAAGGAAGACAGTAAGTGAGTCAAGGGCAGCAAGACTGTAGAAAATACCATGGGACACTATTTTGATATGTTACAAGAAGATTTCTCTCCATACTTCCTGTTACTCTGTAACCAGTTAAAGAAGGAATGTAGAGATTCTATATTTACACCCTCAGGAGAAGGATGATTCAGCAGAATTCTGAGAACCAAGGAGAGAAAAATGTGAGGACCAGATCTCAGATTTGGAAGACCATATCCATTGTTGCATATGCTTTTTTGCCCTCAGGGTAGATAAAATTTGAATTGGGAGAGAGCAGAATCAGAAAGGAAACAAAAAGAACTCAGTACCAACAGATTCCTACTAAGGTGCCTGGAGCCCATCCCCAGCCACTGGGGTTTGGCAGGGTCACAAGAGATGCCAGATAGGCTGAGGGACCTTAGAATAAAGGAGACCTATGTCCCCAATACGCAACATGGTCTTCAAATCCCTCTACCCCATGGACTCGAGGAGTAGGAATGTCCATTGAGGGTATCTGATAAAATGACCTGAGATGACCCCTGAAGTTTTCCTGCTTCCAGCTGAGAGGAAGAACTAGCAGAGTACCTGGATGGATTCATAGCCTCAAAGGGGAGGAGGAGGCAACAGTGTCAGCTGGACAGATGGGTGGACTGGGTGGGCACCAGCTACCTGCTGACACCATGCATGAGCCTGGCATCATGTTAAGCTCCCTGAAACTTAGATATGAGGAAGCAGTGCTCAGTTGCTCAGTCGTATCTGACTCTTTGCAACTCTGTGGACTGACTAGAGCCCACCAGGCTCCTCTGTCCATAGGATTCTCCAGGCAAGAATACTGGAGTGGGTTGCCATTTCCTCCTCCAGACATAAGGAATTAGAGAGACCCTCAATTGACTGAGATCTAATTCCTGCCATCTGGCTGAATGGAGGCTTAAAATAGAATAGAGTGGGGAAGCTCCCAGAAAGATCATGAAATATTAATATTACATTTTTTATTTAAAATTTTAAAAAAGATAATTGCAGATTAACATGCAGTTGTAAGAAATAGTACAGAGAGATCACTCATACGTTTTACCCAGTTTGCCCCCAAGGTAACATCTTGCAAAACTATAATACAATATCAAAACTGGATATTGGTATTTATATAGTAAAGATACAGAAGATTTCCATAACAATGAGGAGCCTTCATGTTGTCCTTTTATAGTCACATTCACTTGGTTCCACCGTCATCCCCTCCCTAACCTTGGCCACCGCTTGGCTCCCTAACCACAACCTTGGCATCACCGAGTCAATGGACATGAGTTTGAGCAAACTCTAGGAGATAGTGAAGGATGGGGAAGCCTGGTGTGCTACAGTCCATGGGGTCACAGAGTCGGACGTGACTTAGTGACCGAACAACAACATGTTCCCATTTTCTGTAATCTTTTCATTTCGAGAATGTTATATAAGTTGAATCATAAAATATGCAACCTCTGAGGTTGTTTTTTTTTTAACTCATATTTCTCTGGAGATTCATCCAGATTCTTGGGTGTATTAATAGATCATTCTTTTGTATAACTGAGCAGTATTTCCATATTATGGAGGTAACATAGTTTCTTCAATTATTCATCCACTGGAGAACATCTGGGCTGTTTCAAGTTTTGGGCTATTATGAGTAAAGCCGCTGGAAACATTTATATACAGGTTTTTGTATGAAGGTTAGTCATAGTGTCTTTAGGAAAAAATACTCGGGAGTGCAATTGCTGGGTTGTATCATAACTGCATGTTTAATTTTTAAAGAAACTGCTGTTTGAGTGGCTATACCACTACATTCGGGCTGCTGCTAGGTCGCTTCAGTCGTGTCTGACTCTGTGCAACCCCATAGATGGTAGCCCAGCAGGCTTCTCCATCCCTGGGATTCTCAAGGCAAGAACACTGGAGTGGGTTGCCATTTCCTTGTCCAGTGCATGAAAGTGAAAGGTGAAAGGGAAGTCGCTCAGTTGTGTCTGACTCTTAGCGACCCCATGGACTGCAGCCTACCAGGCTCCTCCATCCATGAGCTTTTCCAGGCAAGAGTACTGGAGTGGGTTGCCATTGCCTTCTCCCAATAGCAACGTAGGGATGAGGAATCCAGTTCTTCTGCATCTTTGCCAACATTTGGTGTTGTCACCTTTTTTATTTTAGATGTGTAGTGATATCTCATTATGGTTTCAATGCATTTCCCTAATGGCTAATGATGATGAATACTTTTTCATGTACTTACCATCAGTGTGCTTTCTTCTGTGAAATACCTGTTCATGTCTTTTGTCTATTTCCCAAATAGATTATTTTTGATAGCTGAGTTTCGAGAGCTTTTTAAATATTAGTCCCCCGGAGAGGGAAATGGCAACCCACTTCAGCATCCTTGCCTGGAAAGTTCCATGGACAAAGGAGCCTGGCAGGCTATAGTCCACAAGGTCGCAAAGAGTTGGACACGACTGAGTGACTTCACTCACTTTTGTTGGATGCGTGGTGTACAAATATTTTTTCCACCCTGAAGCATATCTTTTCATCCTCCTAATAGGTCTTTCTAACAATAAAAGTTCTTGATTTTAATGAAGTCGTATTTATCAGTTTTCCCATTTATGGATTACACTTTTGGTGTTAAGTCTAAGAACTGTTTGCCTAATCCTGTATCTTGAAATTTTTTTCTAATTTTTTCCTAAAAGTTTTATTATTTTCATTTGTTGTTGTTTCCCGTGGCTTGAGGGATCTTAGTTCCCTAGACAGGGATTGAACCTGGACCATGGCAGTGAAAGCACTGAGTCCTAACCACTAGACTGCCAGGGACCTCCCTAGAAGTTTTGGAATTTTAATTTTACGTGTACGTCCCTGATCTGTTTTAAGGGTTTTGTGTGTGTGTGTATGTGTGTGTGTGTGTGTGTGTGTGTGTGTGTATTTTTAACCAATGGTGTCCAGCTGTTCCAGCACCATTTGTTGAAAGGGCTATCTCCTGCTGTAACTTCTCTATTTGCCTGTTCATTCTTCCCTTCTCGACTGCCTATGCTCTCTGTTCTCTTTCTTCCTCTCTAGCTCCTAATCACTCCTTTCATCTAAGGCCAAGGATACTGGGCAGAAGCACAGAGAGCTGCTCTGTGCAGTCCCTCTGGTTACTGGAGGTGGAGGGGCAGGTAACAAATTATGCCTCCACCCCACAGACAGTTTTCTCTTCTTTCTTGAATTTTGGCTGAGACTAGGGAAGGCTTAGGATGAAAGATATCATCAGTGTTTATATTATGACTCATCTTGAGCGTCCCTGTAATGCTTAAACAGGCCTGTCTTTCTGCGAAGTCACTTGGCTTTAATCTATTGCATTCAGTTTATTAGACAAGATCATTTTTGAGTTTTCTGGTGTTCAGTGCAAGCTACTTTATCCTGTTTAGTGCTATCAATGCATTAAATGAAATGCTCCCTTTCTACGATTAAAAATTAATGATGATGAGACCTGATAGCTTTGTGATATTAGACAGTTTCCCTATTCCTAAAGTGTGAGCCTCTAACAGTGGTTCTTAAACCTAGAACATTGGGTGATATGGGGCTTCCTGGCCTTCCCTCCAGAAAGTAGAGAATAGAGCTGGGGTGGAGCTCAGGAAAAAATATTTTCATAAACCACACCACCACACCCCATGATTCTGACACAGCAGATCCTGTACCACATTCTGGAAAACACTGCTATAAATGGTTGTCAGTTCATCCAAAAGTGATGTGGCGTAGTGTTTTCCAACTGTGACCCACGGGCCATGCTCAGCCCTGTTGGTTGCTTCATCTTAAGTGTAGGAGAGAAATATTATTAATAGTAAGAGGTTTCAGGATTAACTCTGAGAATTACAGAGAATTTAATTCCAACCTCTTCTAGGCATACACCACCACATTTTATTGGTTTTCAAGTATATGCCAAGTGTGCCTCGCCTAGGCTTGTAAAGCATGACATTCTCATTACGTTATAGATATTGATATATGACAATTGAAGATATATGAGTGGAAGGTGCTATTGCAGATAAACTCAGTTCTGTTTTTTTATGGTTTTCTGTTTAAGCCACAGCCATTACTGTTCTAGGCACAGATGGAGAGACAGACGCTGGCAGTCACAGATGGGTCAGGAACCCGTGCTAGCTAAGACCTGTCCACCTTCTCCTTGGCACCCTTTGCACAATCCATGAGGTGTCCTGTCACTCTCGCCTCCTATCCTGATTAGGGCCAAAGCCTGCCCACTTGAGCTCTGTCATCACCTCCATCAGCCCTAGCAAGCGCCCTTCTTGGGCCTGAGCCAGGGGTGGCCAAGGGTGGCAGCCACCCAAGAGAGAGCCATGAGACTGGGCTGGGGGAGAAAGGGTGCGGTGAAAGACTGGGGCCTTCTGGGCTGACTCCTGACATGACCATTCTCCCCAGGATCAAGAGCCCCTGCTGAGCTGATGGGGCAGGCCAGACATTGTCCGCCTCTCCCACTTAGCTTAATCTCCACCATTGCTCTGGTCTTATATCTCCAGCTCATATTTTCCATTCTCCATTCTTCCGTAGCCCAGTCTCACTGAGCTCTCCCAGGCTGCTGCCAGCCTGGCCTTGGCTGCAAAGCCCAGCTCCAGACTCATCTTTGACTCCAGTCTCCTTTCTGTGAATTCCAATAGCCCATTATAGGGACACAGCACTCTGGCATTTATTTTGCAGTCATTCAGTTCAGTTTAGTTCAGTTCAGTCACTCAGTCATGTCCGACTCTCTGCGACCCCATGAATCGCAGCACGCCAGGCCTCCCTGTCCATCACCAACTCCTGGAGTCAAACTCATGCCCATTGAGTCGGTGATGCCATCCAGCCATCTCATCCTCTGTCATCCCCTTCTCCTCCTGCCCCCAATCCCTCCCAGCATCAGGGTCTTTTCCAATGAGTCAACTCTTCGCATGAGGTGGCCAAAGTATTGGAGTTTCAGCTTCAACATCAGTCCTTCCAATGAACACCCAGGACTGATCTCCTTTAGGA